ATGTGGCCTCCCCAGGAGCACCTGCCGGCTGCAGTCCTTCCGTCGAGAGCTGCTGCAGGAGTCTGAGCCTGGGCCCTCTGGCTCAGCCGCACCCCACCCGGCCCAGAGCTGGGAAAGGTTTCCTCACTGGGCTGTGCCCCGGCGTTTGCCGGTGCCCCACCGTAGGCCAAAGCAGTGGGGGACTGAGCTACCCTGGCAGGAGCCTCCCACACTCCTCCTGAGACACCTCAGGGTCCTTTGCAAAGCATGGGGCCAGAGCACGGCACGTGACGTAGGCGGGGCGTGTGGTGGTGGTGGAGCCCCTGCACAGTCTCACACTTTGCCCACTGAATCTGGGCCCCGAGAATGGCAGTCTTGTGGGTTGGGGGGGGGGGCTTCAAAGGAGGCCTGAGAACTGAGCCGCGCTCCCCCCCCCCCCCAGCTGGATTGCATCCCGTACGAGTGGAGACTCATCCTGCTGGCTTTGACACTGAGCAACCTGGTGCTGTCCCTCTCCCTGGAGGTGAGGCGCTCCCCATCTGGGATTGCTGGCCCCGGGTTGGGGGGGGGGGCTGCTCCCCCTCCTCTGTCCGGCCCGCCGGCCGGGTCCATCTTCCTGGGCTGAGGAGCTCCATCCTCGTGGAGTCCCTCCTGCAGCGCCCAGAGCTCTTTCTCTCCCGTCCCCAGAACTTTGTCTGCGACTGCGACGTCCTCTGGCAGAGGGTCTGCTACACTCAGCGGAAGTACGAATACCCAAACAGGGCCGCTTACCCCCAGGTACGTGGGAGCCTTAGGCAGCAGGGGAGCAGGCAGTGAGCTAGTGCACAAAGGTGGAAGGCGGCCACAAGCGGGGGCTTGGCAGGATGATGGAGCAGTGGAGGGGTACAGGTCACATGAATGCCAGAAGCCTTCCAAAGCGATGGCTTCAAAAGGAGGCGTTGGTGCCCTGAGTTCTGGGGGAGGCGACGGGAAGCCAGATCACCTGGCTGTGCTTTGCCATGACTCCTGCCATCCTGACTCCCTCCTGCCCAGCTCAGCCAGTCACGGTTCTGACCCCACCCTGACCCCCCTCAAGCCAAGCCTTGCCCACCCCCTGGCCTGCCTTTGCCTGCCCGGGGGTCTCCCATGCCAAGCAAGAGCTCAGCCAGTCACGGTTCTGACCCCACCTTGACCCCCCTCAAGCCAAGCCTTGTCCACCCCCTGGCCATCAGGGTGGTGCAAGGCCTGCCTTTGCCTGCCAGGGGGGCCTCCTGTGCCAAGCAAAGGGAGCAAGAGGATTGCAGAGCGTAGCCCTGGGGAGGAGGTCAGATGGCCAGTTTCCAGTCAGGACCTTGCCTTCTTGAGAGGACTGGCATGGGAGAGGGTGGGGGGGCGTCATATGGGCCCGTCCCCCGAGGCTTTGTGAGAAGAGGGTGGGCAGAAGAGGTCCAGCCCTCTGGGAAAGGCCATCCTGGAAGGAGAGCACAAGGCAGGCTGAGGGCTGATGGGTTCCAAGGCGTAAATCTAAAACTGCCGTCCTTCCTTTCCCTCCCCGCACAGTTGGAGCTGGACGAGATGGCCCCCGGCTACTCCTGCCGCCAGCACGCCTCCCCCCGGGCCAAGTACAAGCGTCTGGCCCAAGAGCTCCTCTTTGACCCCGACTGGCCCCCGCAGCCGAAGACGAGCATCAAGGCCCAGGTGCCTCCTGCTGAGAGCACCGCCTAAGGCAGGCCAATGCTCCCGGAAGGCCGCAGAAGTTGGAATACTTGCCCTTGCTCCTAGCGAGGGCTGCGATCAGGAAACAAGGAGCATTGTGGGGCTTGTAGTTCACAGGCTGCCCATTGTCCTCTAATACCACAAAACACACACACCCGTCTGTGCTCGGTCCAGCGGTGGGCAGCAGCGCCTCTCCCCCTCCTGCCGCCATTGCACTTTTCCTTGGCATCTCGTGGTACCAATCATGAGTTTGACTGTATTAATTACTACCTTGGGAAGAAAGTCAGTGTATTAAATTCCACTTTGCTGAACATCCCGCTGTGTGGGAAGCTGGACCCAGCGGGCTGGTCTCTCTCGCCTCTTCTTGGGTCAGGCAGGGTCTTCTGGGAGGGACGGGGAGGGTGGCTTTTCCTGAGCAGAGGACCAATGGGGGGCGGGGGGGGCGGTTTCCAGTCTGGGCACGTTTGCCGCTCCGTGGGGCTTTTACACTTCTGTTTTTCCCAAGACGAAAGATGATTCTAAGACTCAATTATTGGCCATTGTGGGAGCCGAAACAGAAGCGGCTTCCTGCCTCCCCGTGCACGCTCCCTTTGATTTGCCCTGCCTGTGTCTTCCTCACATGTTTTCCATCTCTCCATTGCAAGGCCCCCCACCCCACCCCACCCATCTGCAAGATCGTCTCCTGGTTTTGCTCCCCAGAGGAATGCAATTAAATCCTTCCCTCACAGCCTTGCCACTTGTCGTGGGATTAACACTGTCAAGCAAGGTTTAGCAAAACCTGTTTGGCTTGGGGAGGGGGCTTTGGGCACGCCAGTGGGTGCAGGGGAATGATCCGTGCTCCCCCATGGGGGCTAGTGTGGATCGGAGGAGAAGTGGGTTCAGTACTAGAGTGGGCACCATCAGGTGGCGGAATGCTTCAAGAGGGAATCAGATAAGCATCTGGAGCAGAGGTCCATCAGTGGCCCCTATGAGCCACAAGGGATAGATAAGGAACTCTCAGTCTGGGGCAAGTGATGCACTGTATTCTTGGTGCTGGGGGGGGCACAGTGGGAGGGCCTCTAGTGTCATCTGGCCCCACTGCTGGACCTCCTGACGGCACCTGGTATTTCTGGCCACTGTGTGACATGGAGTGGAGGGGCCACTGGCCTGATCCAACACTGGCTTCTCTGATGTTCTTATGAAAGGAAGTGGGGGCTGGAATCGTCCCAAAGCAGCTGCAGCCGATCTAGCTGAAGGGACACAAAGCAAGGAGCAACCTCTGGAGCTCCCAGAGCTGCTTGTTGGTCTTGGGAGACGGGGCCAAGGGATGAAGTGGGGGCTGCAGGGCCCAGGGACGGCCATCTGGGGTGGGCTCTGCAGGTGAGCCAATGGCACAGAGACGGCAGTCCCTCCTGGCTCCCCTCAGCTGGTGGGCAGGCCCTGAAACACATTTTGACACCACCACCCCTTCCATTGCTTTGTGACTGGTGTTGGGGGGGGGGACACCACAGAGATACACAGCTGTCAGTTCTGGGATTTGTTCTGGAGACAGCCGCTACCCAGCTCTGCCCTGGTGAATGGGGATGAGCGGAGAGGAGCCCACAGTGTTGCTTGCTTCATTTACATCCTGCTTTCTTGAGGGTGTGGGGGGGACCCCTTTAGCAGCTTCTATTATTCCCCTTTCTTCCACTCCACCCTCCCAGCCACCTTGTGAGGTAGGGGAGGCGGAGCATCTGTGACTGGCCCAAGGTTCCCCAGTGAGCTGCTGTGGCACAAGTGGGCATTTGAACCCAGGTCCTAAGCCTAACAATACCCCAGGAGTGGCTCAGGCGGGCCCTTTGCCATGGAGCCCTGAGTACTCTTCCCCAAAGGGACCGCTGCCCCCGCGATCCAGGAAAGTGAGCCAAGGCCACTGCCAGAGGGACGGGAGGATTGTACTCCGGCCGCCGCCCAGGCTCTCTCGCAGCCCAGCCCCCAGGTAAGGCACAGTCACAACAGCCCCACCCCGGGGCAAAGAGCAGGCTGGCCTCAGGAGGGCGGTGGGGGGTGGTTTGGTGCCCCCTGCTCAAGGGCCGGCTGGCGGGTGGGCCCCAGGAGAGGCGGGTGCACGGGCAATGCGCTTTCAGACCGATTCAGGTGGGTCGCAACAGGACAGTGCTGGGAGTCCAGGGGGGCACCTTTTTTCTTTTTTCCTTTTGCAATTTGATTTTTATTAAATTCCCCAAAGCATAGCAGAGCGTGCTATTCTTGCGGAGGATAGAGGGGCGCCTTTAAGACCAAGGAAGCTGGAACCTGGGTGCCCGCTGCTGCCCAGCATTCAACGGCGCCGGGGTCTTACGGGTGCCACAGCCAGGGGCTCGGGCCGTTCGGCACCGCACGCGGCCCTTCCGCCCACTCCCAGCGCGCACCGGG